CAATCCCACGCGACCGCCGTGTGGATGTCTTGCACAGAATATTATTGTATAAATTATTATGGCCGTGGCGGTCTCCAAATTGGCGGTCTGTTGCGACTTCCTTGTAAACGTGCCTCACCTTTGAGGGAAACCGTGAAATCTTGATATTTCCTCTTTGCTTTTTCCTCGTCTTGAAAACCGTTTCGCCGCGAGCCTCGCCCGAAAGGCCGTGTACTCCTCCCCCCCGCAAGCACTGCCAACCACCTTCAAGTCTTTGTATCCTTGTATGTATAACCCATCTTCTCCCACTGTGAGGGAGCGAATCCCTGCTTGCAATCAAACTAGCAGTCGGTGTTTTCCGTCACCCCAACACGTGTCGCTCAACCAACAGGACGAAGCTCCGCAACGGTCAACCTGTTTTTTTTTTTCCTCTTCACAAAGAACACAACAAAATCCATCTCGTCCACAGATGACAGTCTTTGAAAATATTGATGCTACATGTAGGAATCGATTTATATTGCTGTTGTTGTGCGGTGACCAACTGGTATTTCTACGGTTCCTCGAGCAGTATTCGGCGATATATACCCTGTGGGTAAACAGGCGTTGTTGTTGGATTTATTCTCGTCATTGAATTAAAAACCGTTCCGGTCTCCGCTCTGTATCATTTAGTATCCGTATGGTCCAACTGACGGTGTACAAGCGTGCAACCCGCGAGTGTGTACGCGCTACATACCCCCGTCATCCCCCCCCCCCCCGGCGTTTGCCATCGGGGTTGGTTTTTGGTCGCTTGGCAACGACGTTGTAAAACAAGCCGCCCCCCCCGGTGTTTTTCATCGGGGTTGGGCTTTCGTCCCTTGGCAACGACGTTGTAAAACAAGCCAACTCACCCCGTGAACTCGGCAACCAGGTTACCGTTTTTTTTTTTTTTTCCTCTGTTTTTTTTTGGCGGTAACCATAATGGTGGTCGAGTAGATCATGTTGTGCGGAGTGGAAAACCCCCACTCCGCGCAAGGGGGATGATCGCACCATGTTGTTTTAAAATGGCCAAGTGTCCTCGAGGCAGTTACACAGTGCTTACAACTGTCTCTGGAAGTGAAAGCTCCAGAAAATAAATTAGGTCATACGCAGCTGTCATGCGTACGCAAGGAAGTAAGCACAACATGCCGAACACCCTAAGCAGGATGCAGCTCACCCTCCATGCGACTCGCCGAATACCTCACGGCGCTTCGCGCTTGGTGATGTGAGAGCCTGGTCCGGTGAGAACCCGGCGTGCTCCGTCCCGGCTTTGTAGGGATGCGAGGTCAATGGTCTAACGACTACGGCATGCACGACTATGAGTACACCCCCCCCCCCCCCCCCCCCCGGCGGGGTGGCCTACGTTCGGGCCGCCGTTCGCCCGTTTTTGTGCCGGGCGTCCTTTTTTTCTGCCTTCTTTTCTCCCCCCTGGGCGGCCCCCCCCTTTTTTTCCGGGGGGC